TTAAAAAATGCATTTCAACATGCAATACACGTATATATATATATATATATATATATATATATATATATTTTTTTTTTTAATATACTGAATACGGCCAAAATTTCAAATATATGTCAATATATTTGGGGAAGAATATTTTTAAAATATATTTTTCTTCCATGTGGGTAGGGGTGGCTATAGCTGGCCTCCTCTTGAAAGTACTTGTTTCATGGCTCTATCTGGCTTCATCACTCTGTAATAGATTCACAACAGGCATGTTGTAAAACAGCATCTGAAAAATGGCAGAATTTCTCATCTCTATGCTGGTTCCAGGTCAATGATTCAAAGCATTGAAGCCAAAGAATCAGCATGACAGCCAGAGGGAGAACATTATGCAAAGGAAAGCTCAGAAATGACTGGCTATATAACTGTCTCAGGTGTACATTAACCTTATGAGCTTTCATTTCAATGGAAATTAAACTAAAAAGCCTACATTGGTACTCTGGCAGAGCAAACCATTTTGCAAAGTAAGGAGTTAATGTTTTTGAAAACACAGACAGAATAGCTTCAATGGTTGAGCTTTATTACACCTCATGGTCAGCATGGATGAAAATCATACCACCGTGTCATGATTCATTCGAAAAATTGATAATGCCGGTTATAAATCTATGAGCTAGTGGCCTATTAAGAGGACGTTTAGTGACTTCTGTATGTTCAATAATACCTACAGCAATCAATAAAACAACAAGATCCTAATTTTGTCAGCTTCACTCTATTTGCAATCGATAAACAATTTAGGGACTGGTTATAGCATTTGCCCAAGGGCAGAGAAGCAAAAATATATACTGCTAAATGGCAGTTACCTGATACACAATAAAACAGTCCATTATAAGGTAAGAATGTTGAATGGTCCAAAGACCATTCAAACCATGGCTATTTCTTAGTCTCGATATACACTCACTGACCACTTTATTAGGTCCACCTGTTCAATTGCATGGTAACACAATTTGATAATCAGCCAAACACATGGCAGCAACTCAATGCATTTAGGCATCTAGACATTAGACGACTTGCTGAAGTTCAAACCGATCAGAATGGGGAAGAAAGGGTATTTAAGTAACTTTGAATGTGGCATGTTGTTGGTGCCAGACAGGCTGGTCTGAGCATTTCAAAAACTGCTGATCTACTGGGATTTTCACACACAACCATCTCTAGGGTTTACAGAGAATGGTCCGAAAAAAAAAATCCAATGAGCAACAATTGTGTGGATAAAAATGCCTTGTTATTGTCAGAGGAGAATTGGCAGACTGGTTCTAGATGATAGAAAGGCAACAATAACTAAAATAACCACTTGTTGCAACCTAGGTATTCAGAATACCATCTCTGAATGCACAACAGATCGAACCTTGAAGCAGATGGGCTACAGCAGCACACTACTACAACGGCTGCAGCTAAGAACAAGAAATGGAGCCTACAATTGGACAATAGAAGATTGAAAAAACATTTCCTTGTCTGACGAGTCTCAGGTTTAGAATATTTTTTTGTGGCAGGGCTAATTAAGGATTTCTCCCAGTCCAGCATTTCCAAACCCTGATAAAGGGGGCCTTTTATCAACATAGGTTGGCATTCTTAGAGTAAGGGATGCACATATACACTCAACAGCCACTTTATTAGGTACACCTTGCTAGTACCAAAAAAAATCCCCCACACCATTACACCACCACAAGCCTGAACCATTGATACAAGGAAGGATAGATCCATGCGTTCATGTTGTTTGCACCAAATTCTGACTCTACATTCTGAATGTCGCAGCAACCAGTCTACTCAATCTCCTCTGACCTCAACAAGGCATTTTCGTCCACACAACTGCCGCTCACTGGATATTTTTTCTTTTTTTTACCATTTTCTGTAAACCCTAGAGATGGTTGTGCGTGAAAAATCAGTAGATCAGCACTTTTTGAAATATTCAGACCAGCCTGTCTGGCACCAACAACCATGCCATATTCAAAGTCACTTAAATCCCCTTTCTTCCCCATTCTGATGCTCAGTTTGAACCTCAGCAAGTCATCTTCACCTTGAGTTGCTGCCATGTGATTGGCTGGTTAGCAATCTGTGTTACCAAGCAATTGAACAGGTGTACCTAATAAAGTGACCAGTGAGTGTACGTTGTATAAGATAGATAGATAGATAGATAGATAGATAGATAGATAAATGCAAGTCATGGCCAAATGGATTATGAAGGCTTTCTATATCATTTAATCATTTGACTTGCTATTAATACTGGTTAGTACATATGCAATAGATCAGAACCCAACTGTTCAGGGTGATGACCCTCTCCCAGACAAAGTAGTGCAGTGTAGGAGATTGTAGAAAGTCAATATAAAGAAATGAAAGTATTTACACTAGTTCCATTTATACCTCACGTGAACTTTCCATTTAAATCGCTAAATCCATTTGAGACGCATAAAAACAAAGTAGTTCAATGAGTTTGCTTTTAAAAACAACAGCCACATCCTGAGTAGAAAAGCCTGTCCTCTGCCAGTATGAATCCAAAGAACAAAGGAATACCACTCAGGCAAACAATCCAGATAAATCCACAACAGGTTCAGACTCTGACTCATAAATATTATGATTAAGCACGAAATCATGTGAAACATGTTAACAAGTTCTGTATTCATGTCCTGGTATTTTGTGTGTCCTATGGATCAATAAATACACACTATGTTCATCTATCCTCCGGTGTGCGGCTGACCCTTCTTCCTATTGCTCTGCCAGTATGATGCAGAGAAGGACCTCTGCCCTCTATGTGGACACCATGGTCTCTCTGCCAAGGTCTGACACACATTCTGTCTTCCAACTTCTATAAAGATCCCCTGGTGCCTCTTTATTTACCATATACTGTATTTACACTGGACTATGAACTATTTTTTTATGTTTATGGTATTTCCCCCAGTCCCATGACTAAAGCCCCACAATTACAAATGGTTTCAGAAAGTAGGATGTCAATAAATGTGTGTAACATATTAGTCATCCCAACCATTTTCCGGTTACATCGTATCAGTCTCAGTTTGTAGACTCCCACGCTTTTCCTCCTATAAACCACAAAAAAAACTATTGCAATTTGTAGGTACAGTAAGTGAGTAATAACTAGCAGTAGTGATAGCCTTGTGTTTGTATACTACCTCATCAAGCAAGTCAAGTAGTGTTTTGTTTTCCTGCTGAATGACAAAGTCATGTATGCCGATATTAAATAATTACTTATCATTACTGCAAACCGTTATCTGTAAATGGGTGGCCTCTAACTCCCGGCAAGATAAACAAATTAAACACTGAAATATGTATTACAACACCTACATACTATCTTTTCTTTGAAGTGATTGCAAATTAATTTTTTTGAAAAAACAAATATTATACTTACCTGCTCTGTGCAATGGTTTTGCACAGAGCAGCCCCAATCCTTCTCTTCTGTGGCCCCCCACTGGCCCTTCTGGCCCCTCCCTCCTGCCATGTACCCCCCAAAGCATGCTTCTTGCAATGAGAGCACTCATGTGGGCTCGCTCCAAAGCCCCGCTCTGTAGTGCAGCTCAGGCCTGCTCTTTTCTCCCTCCTCACTGGCTGTTATTGAGCCTATGAGAAGGGAGAGATCTGAGAGAGCTGCTGCTCTAGGCACAGCGCTAGATTGAGGAGGGGGTTGCAGCGGGTTTTTTACCTTGATGCATAGAATATATTTACCCCTTGGTGCCAATGTCACACAATTATGCAGCCACACGGTATTGAGCTTTATTCTGTGGGGGCCGCATAGTTGCGTACCTGTCTTCGTGCTGGGAGCGTGCCACACAGCACGCTCCCAGAACAAAGACCAAGATGTCACTGAGAGCCCCTGGTCCCGTTCTAACGATCGGGACCCGGGACTCCTGATTCTGGGTCACATGATCGTTGCGATAGCCTATGATTGGCTATCTCAGTGATGAGTCACTGTGAAGCCCTCCCCCCTTGTTTTTTTTTCTCTCTGAATGGAGGAGAGCAATACATTGTATCTCTCTCTCTCTATTTGCAGAGAGAAAAAAAACTGTAAAAAAAAAAAACAAATATTACAAAATAAAACAAATAATACCTAGACCAAGGTTTGATCTAGTTCAGTGGCACAGTTAGTGTTTGGGTCAAGGTCAGGGTCAAACATCAGGATTATTTTTTTACTTAAATTGGTATCAGTGTTAGTGTGTTTTAGGTAAAAAACAAAATACAAAATGCGCACTATTGTTTCTGGGCTATAGTACGGGTAAAAACAGAAAACATACACATATATGGTATTTTGCTGCAATCGTCAAGAACTGAAAAATTTATTTTGGGTTGTTCTTTGGTGGTAGGTGATGGTAGTAACAAGAATTGCACAGCTAAAATTAAAAAAAAAATTTTTTTTTTATTTTGGGTCAGTTTTACTTTGATAATAAAAAAAAAAATACAAGGTATAAATCATCTGGATGTACAAAGTAACATATTTTTTGCTCCACAAGATGCACCTGTCCATAAGATGCGCCTACAATTAAGAGGAGGAAAACAAGAAAAAAAAATACTCTGGACCAATGGACTGGAGACATAGTACAGGAAATGACCAGAGACTGCAGAAAAAGTACATGAGATGACCAGAGACTGTGGACATAGTACAGGAGATGACCAGAGACTGCGGACATAGGACAGGAGATGACCAGAGACTGAGGACATAGTACAGAAGGAGATGACCAGAGACTGCAGATATAGTACATGAGATGACCAGAGACTGCGGACATACCAGGACAGGAGATGACCAGAGACTGCGGACATAGTACAGGAGATGACCAGAGACTGAGGACATAGTACAGGAGGAGATGACCAGAGACTGTGGACATAGTACAGGAGATGACCAGAGACTGCGGACATAGGACAGGAGATGACCAGAGACTGTGGACATAGTACAGGAGATGACCAGAGACTGCGGACATAGTACAGGAGATGAACAGAGACTGCGGACATAGTACAGGAGATGAACAGAGACTGAGGACATAGTACAGGAGATGACTAGAGACTGAGGACATAGTACAGGAGATGACCAGAGACTGCGGACATAGTACAGGAGATGACCAGAGACTGAGGACATAGTACATGAGATGACCAGAGACTGCAGTCATAGTACAGGAGATGACCAGAGACTGCAGACATAGTACAGGAGATGATGACCAGAAACGGCAGACATAGTAGAGGAGATGATCGGAGACTGCGGACATAGCACAGGAGATGACCAGAGACTGCAGACATAGTACATGACATGACCAGAGACTGCGGACATAGTACAGGAGATGATGACCAGAGACTGCGGACATAGTACAGGAGATGATGACCAGAGACTGCGGACATAGTACAGGAGATGATGACCAGAGACAGCGGACATAGTACAGGAGATGACCAGAGACTGCGGACATAGTACAGGAGATGATGACCAGAGACTGCAGACCTTTGGGGAGTGGGTACCCTATCGGAAGCGGAAGTTGTCCTCCCTTTTCCCTCCCTGAAGTCTTCTGGGACACGTGACAGGTCCCAGGAGACTACAGGACCATTCACAAAGCGTAGCACATCTTGCGCATGCACAGTGGGAACCCAGCTGTGAAGCCGCAAGTTGTCACAGCCAGGTGCCAACACTGAAGATGCTGGCACCAGGGAGAGAAGATGGCCAGTGAAACCAGCGGTGATGAGGACACCGCTGGACCGAGGAACAGGTAGGAACCGAGGAGCATGTTCTGCTGCACAGAAGAGCCGAGTGGCCATCCCAGTATTCTAACACGCCGGAGGTGACGGGGGAATACCGGGCTGGCCGCCCCATATGACGCACAGACATTTTTCCCCAATTTTTTTGGGGAAAAAAGTGTGTCTTATGGAGCAAAATATACAGTAGTTGTGATGACATGTACGCTCTTACTAATACATGTCAAAGTTGTAAAATTTTACTTAGGCTTTAGGACTTGTTTTACCCTTAGGCGTGAAGGGGTTAAAGTAAAAAAAAACATTCAGCCTTTAAGCCTTGTTCACATTTGGTGATTTGGGATCACAGGCAGAATCACGGTGACTCTACCCAAGATTCCAAATCGCACTGCAATAGTGACAGAATGCACCACATGTGTTTAGATGTCATTCATTTTTAATGGCACCTAAACGCGGTGCAGTTTTTCAGTGACTGTCTTGCTATAAATAACATGAAGATTCCCACCCAGAAGTTCCTGCTCCTTTTGGGGTAACCAGCTCCACGCAATTTATCGAGGCACCACATTTGAGGTGCCATTAAAAATGAATGGCACCCAAATGAGTGGAGTGTTTTGCCACTGTTGCAGTGCTATTTTAAATCACAGCGATTCTGCACGCAATCCCAAATCGCCAAATGTGTACTGGGCCTTAGACTGCCCAAAAACCTCTCTGATTAGTGGAAGCAAATGACCACAGACAGCATTTGTTGCACAACTGGACCAAGTAAATCTTCCCAACTATGATAACAATGGACCTTACCATTGGGAAGGCTCATCTCTTTTTGTATGTTTTGAAAAAAAGAGCAATTCACGAGATGCAGAGTTGGAATAGAACACCTGAAATCTCACGGCTCTACCTGCACTTTGATAAGCTGAGTGCTAACCCACAAAGAGTAAAGACTCAATAAGGTGTAGCTATGGTCAAAATTTTAAATGATTATATTCAAGTCACAACTGGTGTGAATTTACTAAAGGCGACTAGAGCCCAGAGCTTACTAAATGATAAAAATGCTTGACTATAAGGTGTCTTTTTTTTTTTTTCCATGCACGTGATTGGGCATTCATTACAAAGTGAAGCTTTACCACATTTACATTTACTAAGGAAAATGAATGCAACTACACTTGCAAAGTGCACAGTCTATTTGCCTTTAGTAAATCCACCCCATTTTTAATTATTTCTAGCCAACTCCTATTAATCTGAATCTTCTTAGAGTTTGCAACGTTACTTTGTGAGGATGACACACATTTATTTCCTTGAATTATGATGCATATTCACTGTCCTGTGAGTAGGCATTGCTGTGCCACACATTTCACAGAGCCTGCCTTCTGAACCACAGAGGTGCTGAGAGGAGGGGTTTTAGGTACCATGGGACATGTAGTCCTTGAAGCAAAGTAAACCACAGAGGAGAAGCTGGAAAGCATGCAGGGAATTCAGAAAGATGCAGGAAAAGATGGTCAACAGACAGACAGCACTTACATTGTGAAAGGAGATTTTCAAAGTAAGCTTTTATTGGATTGTCAAATAGATCTATTGTTTGTATTGCTATTACAATGCTGATGATTTAAAATGAAAGTTTAGGCTGTGGTCATAGATTTTATGATCTAGAATGCAAGATTATAGGATCAGCTTCAGTTTAAAGAGAAGCTTTTTTTTCTCTGTGTGTTGTTGCATCTCTCGACCACAGTGGTCTCCAAACTGCAGCCCGGGGGCAGATGCCCTTTGCTTGCTTTTATCTGGCCCTTGGGGCACTATTTCATTCACTCATACCAATTGGATGCAATTCCCCCCCACTTACACCAATGAAGGGGGCACAACTCCTTCCATTGACCCCAATGATGAGGCACAATTCCTCCCAGTGACACAAATGATAGGGTCCAATGACATCAATGATGGGGCAGAATTCCTCCCACTAACACCAAAGGGGCATTATTTTTTTCCTACTGACATTGGGACCTTTTTACTTTTCTACTCCCACTGGCCACAGTCCGGCCCTTGTAAAGTCTGAAGGACACTGGCCCTTTGTTTAGAAAGTTTGGAGACCCCTACTCTACCACCAGTAAATCACAATAAAGTGACATTCATTATTATTGCCTTGCTCTCAAATGTGCTTAAAATTAATAATATCCACACTCTCCTAAGTCCTACTAATTATATAGCTCCTACACCTCCAATATCTGCATATGTATCTGATCTGATATAGAAAATACAATATATGTAACATCATCAACCCCTCATATCCCTTGTCACATATTCCACATTATACCAGTGAACTTCCATTGCTTTACTTTCAGAGTGCGATGCTGCAAATAAATGTGTTGTGCCCTCCTCCAAAAGATCCAAATGTTTTTTTTTTTTTTCCCCACACAGTGTCATTTCTCATGCAACTGCATTTCAAAACCCTTTCCTCTCCACTGTGATTTCCCTCTCCATTACAGAAAGGTCTATACACTTCATGGAGTATCCTATGGAACTGAATCTCAGATCTCAGCCTCTGTTGTCAGAGTGAATCTCAGCCTAGATTGGGTCACACTTCCAGTGCACCCAGATCAACTAATATATCAACAACAAAAAAAAATAGCACATAACCGTTTAATAAATTCAAACTCCAGCCACAAATTCAGCAAAGAAACATCCCAATAAAAGATAAAATGTCAAAACAAAACATGTTGCAATATTCTGTTGCCATCCAGAAATATCCACCACAGTACTTTTGTTCTAGCACTAGATATTGTCTGAGCCCCGGTCATGTTGAATCTTCACCAGCATGAAGCAGCACAGTAATGATCTATCACTCAACTTTCTCCTCCTATCAGTATGCTTCTTGTCAAAATGTGAACTAATTGGCTCCTTGTATTGCTTCATCCTCTCACATTCCAGCCCTGCAATACAAGAACTGCAAGAGGCTGATACCAGGTCAAAATTAGGTACATCACTGCTTTCCTTAAAAACAAAAATTGATGTATCAATGATTACAGAGCTGCATAAATCTATGTTGTTTATTTTCACCTAAAGTTCAGCTTTAAAAGGCAAGATTTAAAAACAAAATTACACTAACACTTACAATGTGCATCCAGAGCTTTGGGTAACAGCTATCTTCACAGTGACCAAAATCAGACTAAATATAATCAAATAAATAAACAATCTTAGGTGAAAAAGTGTACCAATATTAAATAAGTGAGTGCACACATATAATCAATATCAAATCGATATAAAAGAATAACCCCAATAACAGGGATCATTAATAATTAATAAATAAACAATCTTAAATGTGTGTTTAAAAAGTGTACCCCCAAACAGCTGCTAGCATTAAATCAATATGATAAATATAAACCATATAAATGAGTGCGCTACATTCAAACTAATTTTATAATCGATATAAAATCAAAATAGTGATATAATGAAAAGAATAATAAATGATAACCCAATAACAGGGATCACACTAGGTGAAAAAACACAAACTAATAAGTGCATGAATGAGAAATACACATACAATATTACACTCTGTGAAATTATATATATCCACTAATGAAAAAAATCCACACACTGTCCCAATATTCAATATAAATTGGTGCTCCAGAGCAATAACTCGCGTGAAACAAATCATAATATCCAGTGCCAACTCTGTGAATCCAAAACCATCCGAAGGTCAGCCCCCTCACCTCCTAACCGTGACCACAAGGGCCAGCTCGCTTTAAAGACACAGTTTCCCAGGAATTAATCTCGTCTCTTCTCCAAGTATAGGGACCCTCAATTTCTGGATATCCCACAGACTTTTGTCCTCCTGAGTACTTTAATCCCCATGGTACTTGTATTTTGTAGTTCACCAATTCCAGCCTCTTCCTCATTAAAATGGAATATGTTTGTTGGGTGTAGCAAAAGGGGGTGGTGAGTATAGATGGCCACCACGCCGGAAATAATTCTTCTGTGTCCAATTTGCTTTCTTCACATTAGAGCTTCAGATGCATCTCCATGTGTTGGCATCCATCTTCAAGATGGATTCAAGAAGATGGATGCCAGCACATGGAGATGCACAAGCTCTGAAGAAAGCAATCTGGACACAGAAGAATTATATACTCAACACCCCCTCTTGCTCGCACATATTCCATTTTAATGAAGAGGCTGGAATTGGTAAACTACTAATACAAGTACCAGGGGATTGGAGTACTCAGGAGGACAAAAGTCTGTGGGATATCCAGGAGGGTCCATCTGGTGGAAACGAGATTATTCCTGGGAAAGTGTGTCTTACCCTAAAGCGAGCTGGCCCTTGTGGTCACGGTTAGGAGGTGAGGGGGCACTTCGGATGGTTTTGGATTCACGAGTTGGCACTGGATTTATGATTATTTACACGCGAGTTATTGCTCTGGAGCACCAATTTATATTGAATATTGGGACAGTGTGTGGACTTTTTTATAGTGGATATATATAATTTCACAGAGTGTGTTTGTCTATACACATGCACTTATTATGTTATTCATGTGATCCCTGTTATTGGGGTTATTCTTTTATATCGATTTTATATCGATTATGTGTGTGCACTCACTTGTGTAATATTGGTACACTTTTTCACTTAAGATTGTTTATTTATTAATGTGATCCCTGTTATTGGGGTTATTCTTTTATATCGATTTGATATCGATTATATGTGTGCACTCACTTATTTAATATTGGTACACTTTTTCACCTAAGATTGTTTATTTATTTATTTTGATTACATTTAGTCTGATTTTGGTCACTTATGTTATTTATTTAGCGCTGCACCATTATATATTGATTATTTATACTTTATGGTTGAAGGTGGGTGTTAGCAGCTTAGGGG